GAAGATTAGGACAACTGTAATAGCATAATCAACAAAATATAATGAAAAACAAACAAATAAAGAATGACGTTGTGGAAGGGAATTGGTACTGAGAAGCACCAGGGGAAAAGTAAGAGATACCCATGAAAGTAGAAGGTATCGCTCTTCTTTGTTTTCCCATTTCTCCATTCCACTCTTTCCCAAGGGTCTCTCCACACCCAACCCACTACAGTTCATGAGAGTGTCTTTGATTGCAAACTATGGAAACCCAAATAAAATCAGGTTGGGAAAAAATAAGCTCATTGTCTCCTGTATCTGAGAAGCCCAAGGATAGCACAACTTCAGGCATGTTGAATTCAAGTGCTCAGGAATCTCTCCCTGCTCACTTAAACTTCTGCTTTTTTTCCTCCTACCTTTACTCTTTGACAGGCCCTCTCCAAGTGGTAGAAGGGTTGGTTTACATGGCCATTACTACTCATCATCTCAGAAGGAAAGGGCCTATTTCTCTTGCAGCACTTACATCAAATCCTAAAAAAAATTTTTTTCTTGGCCTGTCATACTGTGTCCAGAGGCATGGGGTATTCCTATCGGCTAGCCTGGATCACATGCTCTCCAGAAGAGTGGGTCCTAGAATCACTGGGCGTCTGAGAATGGTGTGCCTGTGCACGCATATGTGTGTGTGTAGTGGTGGCGGTGGTGAGATGGCAAACTCTAAAAGGAAGTGATGGTGGTCACTTAAAAGTATACCTTCTGCCCACAACTGCTTCAGACGTAACACCTTAGGATCATCCAATAGCTCCCCTACTCCCAAAACAAAAACTAAAACTCTTCTCTGCAACTTGGCAGAAGCTCGGTGTAGAGTCCTTATCAATTAGAATATTAGAACATCTGCATTGCAAAACCAAGAATGTCCATTTGGGGTTTGGTACATTGAGGGGATTTTCAAGCCTTGGCAATTTCTCAATGCAAGCAACAGAAGAAACTCCAGCTGTGTGAAATCACTCTCCAGTCCCTCCACTGGGTGCAGAGTGACAGTTCTCCACTGCGGCCATGTGCATGCGGGCCCACTGAAGAGAACACATATATTTCTGAACATCTAGAAACAAATGGAATCACTTTTTACGCTACAAATTTAAACCTGAAGACAAGCTCCAGGGAATGAACTACTAGAGGTTCTCAGGCAGTCTCAGGAATAGATGATAATCCTACCTATAGGCAGAAAAAGTCAAACTCACTGAGAGTAAAAGGATGATAGTTGAAATAACATCTAATCTTTATTATTTGCTGAGTGCCAAAGCATTTTTTCATAGATTAGCTCATTTAATTCCCATAACACCTCTATAAGGTAATTTCCATTATCTCTGTAAGAGGCTAAATAATTTGCCAAAGATCAATATGTATCAAGCAGTGGCAGAGTGAGGATTCATGTGTAGGCAGTTTTATTTTTTTTTTAGCTTCACCTAAGGATATGTTTTATTGATTTTTAGAGAGAGAGGAAGGGAGAGAGAGAGAGAGAAACATCAATGTGAGGGAGAAACATTGATCAATAGCTTCCCACACGTGCCCCAGCTAAGGCTGGGATCTGCAACAAAGGTATGTGCCCTGACTGGTAATGAAACCCATAACCTCTTGGTGTATGGGACAATGTTCCAACCAACTGAGACATGCGTCCAGGGCTAGGCAGTTCAACTCTAAAGCTATGCTGCTTCAACATTCACCCTTCCATTCACTCATTCAGCAATTGTGTAGAATGCCTGGTACATGTTGGGAACTACTCAAGGGGCTAAGGTACTGTGAATAATGCAAAGGCAAATACATGTCCTCATGAAGCTTACATTCTAGTGGGAGATAAAGACAGGAAAACAGACCAATAAATAAAATGTAAGCTAGGTTACATAGTGGCCAGTGTTAAAGAAAAAAACTAGAGCAGGGAAGAGAGACAAGTGTTTGTGGGAGGGTTGCTTCTGAATAGGGCAATATGGCAAGGTCCCACTAAGAAGGTGACACAGTAAAGATCTGAGGAAGCAAGGAGGCAAACCAAGCAGATATCTGAAAGGAAGAACATGATAGGTAGAGGAAGCAGCATAGATAAAGGCCCCAGGAAGGAGAAAGAGCAGCATGCTCTAGAGATAGCAAGGAGTCCAATGTGACTGGTACAGAGTGATCAAGGAACAGAGCAGGAGATGGGACTGGATCTTATAGGTGGCTCTTAGGATTTGCAAGTGATTCTTAGGATTTTGTCTTTTACTTAGGTGTGATGCAGCCATTTGGTTCAGAGCAGAGGAGGGACAAGAAATGACTTAGTTTAAACAGGATCACTCACTGCTCTGTCTGGGGTACACGGACACCAGGAAGTTACAGCAGTAAGCCAGGCAGAAATGGGGTGGATTGGATTGGTATGTGGTGATGTGGCAAGTGCTTCATTTCTGGGTTTATTGTGAAGTCAGAGTCAACAGATTGGCTGACAGATGGGATGTGGGGTGTGTGAGAAAGATCGCAGTTGAGGATGACTCTTAAGGTTTTTGAACTGTGCAACTGAAGACTGGAGTTGACATTTTCACAGATGGGGAAGATTGAAGGAGGAATGGTTTTCGTTTTTGTTTTAAGGGGGTATTGTTTTAAGGGGTATCAGGACTCAGTTTGGAATGTATAAAACTGGAGATGCCTATTTGACATTCAAAAGTGATATTGAGTCAGGCCTGGAGTTGAGGAGACAGATACATCAGGACTCGAGTTATAAGCTCTATAAATTACACACTATTGCCTTAGAGTAACTGAAGACACTGGCCTACGTGCAATTTTGGGAAAACAGTGACTATCAAAAATACTAGAACACTGTTAAGAAAAGTCAAATTTACAAATTCACCCATATCCTGCCACCCTAAAAAAAAACCTGCTTTCATTTCTCCACATTCCCCTGTTTTTGTCCACATGCAAGCATAACTTCATAATGTAGTAACAGCTTGAGATAGACAATTTTTACTTTTTCTTTTTAATTTAACATGATCCCATAAACCTTTTTCCTAAGAGGCTCCCATATGTATTTCTTGTGGATTAAAAATGGCCCCAAAAGTGCTTGGGCATTATTGAGAAATATTTCAGAAACAAAAATAAAAAATCCTACTTTGGTTCAGTTTGGAGCCCCGACAGCTGGTGGTGTGTTTCTTGTACACTTTGTGGACAATGACTCTCTGTGGAGGTGACCCGGAGCTGAGACCTGAATGATGAGCGCTGGCCATGCACCTGCTCTGGTAAAGGCACTCCAGGAATGCAGACAGCACGTGCAAAAGAAGGAACAACACATGTTAGGAGCAACAGGAAAGCACATTAAGAACGGATACTAGCGGACTCATTTCAATCGACAGTTAAGTAGAAATGTATTTTATCTTAAAAATATTTAAAAATATATCTTTTAATGTAAACTACAGAAGAGTGAGTACACCCTACCTCTGGGATTCTCTACCAAGGAAGAAGAAACTGTATGGAATAATTTAGAACATGGCGAACCCTAGTAGACATAGTGGTTCTTAAAGGTTCTGGTCTCGGACTATACACAACCTCTACGTGGAATCTGGTTTGTTCATTCATCCCAGTCCCTCACCGAGAACCAGAATGCAGTCTTTGTAGAAAAGACCGAGGGTCTAAAGATGGTAAACGACCCGTGCAAGTCTTCAGCTACTTTAAAGAGGGTTTTAACTAGGGTTCAATTAGCTCTGCCCTCCACATCAGACGCTCACATCAAAAACTAAAAAACAAAATATGATTGCGTGCACGGGACTTCCATCTTTCAGAAAGTCCTCGGATACCTAGGAATTGCTCGCCTGCCTATCATTTGAATAGTTATTTAATGAAAAACAGTAAAAATGAGAAAACCAACCCTCCTGACTCCTCACAGGGCAGACGGGGAACCGGTTTACGCTTCCTCCCAGAGCCAGCAGAGGGGGCACCAGGCAAAGTTTGTCAGCTGCACTGCCCCACGTCTCCTCCCTCCTTTCTCGCCCAATTTCCTCAAAGCCACCGTTTAGACTAAAAGTAGTCATTGACCTTTCATTTGAGCAGTGATGCAATAAAATAGTATTTCAAAGAAAAATGGGTTATCGAAATTTTGGATCCGGTTTTCCCGTGAATATTAATGGTTTTAAAAAGTAGGTCACATTTCAGGTGCGGGCGGGCAAGATAAGATCAGTCCCAACTGAGGCCAGGTGACCTACCACCAGGTGGGAGGAGGTGAAAGGTCCCCAGACAGGGAAGAAGTGGTAGGATCTTTCCGAATTCCCGGTCCCTGGGCTCCAGCCCTGCGGAAAATCACGGAGACACGCACTCTCCGGACTGCAGGCACCAAGGCCCATCGCCCAGCATTACCCAGGCGTGCGGGGAAGAGAGCACCCTCAGCAGTCAGCGCAGGTGAGAGGGAACCGCCGGGCGGCCGGAAGGAGACTAGAGCCGGGAGGAGTGGAGGAGCCTTGCTGGGCTGGTGCTGGAGACAGAGTAGCACCTCCCGGGGGAGGAAATTGAGAGCGGCCAGCGCTGCCTAAGGAGGCTCTGCTGCGTGTTTTGTAGGACTTGGGCAGAGGGGACGGCCTCCGAGCCGCTCCCTCTGGCTGTCGGCCGTGGGCTCCACGAGCCCTTCCCCACAAGATTCAAGTGTCTTCGAGCGGGAGGGACCTTTTCGAGGACCTCCAGTCTCTCCTGCCTGCCCCTCATAAAATGTGTGACTGGAGGATAGCGAGAAGGGGCGGAGGGAATGGGAAAAAGACACCCCCCCTCACCCCCGCCGGCTCATTCGATCCTGGCACGGCTAGGGGTGCAGGCTCTGCGGACGTTGGCTCCCGGACCGTTTCCTGCGCGTCTCCGAACAATCAGGAAAGCAGGAATCAAATAAGGGCGGGTTCCCAGGCAGCCACAGGGTTCTGCCTTGCACCGGGAGGACTCAGAGCCCGCCTCCCCTGAAGCCTGCGCAGTAGCGCCCCAGCCTTTTTAAAGCAGTAGCAGAGGCCACGGTCACGTGGGGCTAATTCCTGGAAAGTTCCTGGAAAGCGGCCTCTGCAGCAGTCGGGCGGGGCGCTCCTGGAGCTCGAACCCAAGAGGGAGGCGGGGAGCTTGGGAGGCGCGTCTGGCTGGGAAGTCGCGCACAGACAGAGCTTCGGGTACCGACGTTTAACTCTTGCCAAGTCTCGCCGCCGCCGCCACCGCGGCTCGCAGGCCTTGCGCTTCCCTTGAAGCATGAGCCTCCTCTCCTGCCTCTACCAGTGTTGCGCGGGCCGCGGACAGTGCGCGCTAGGACTGCGGGCGCACCGCCTCACAATCCTCTGTGCCGGCTGTAGGGGTGCTAGAGGGGCTCCCGCTGGGGCAGGCTGCAGGTACTGGTCTGGGGATCCCGAAGGCTCCGCCCCAGGAGGGTCGCTGGGGAGAAAACCCGGGTACAGCCGCGAGCGCCGGAGGCCTTGGCTTCCGCAGTTTAGAGCCGCCAGGGAAAGAGTCTGAGAGCTGCGGTTCTGCCCTGCAGCCGGCGTTTCTGCTGGCTTTCTTCGGTTCCTTCCCGGCGTCGGGAAGTCTCCAGAATTTTTTTTCTCCTAAACTGCCATCCAAATTAATAATCCTCTTTAATAACCTGATCTCCCGTTCCTCCCCACCCCCTGCCTCCCCCCTTGGCTCCTTACTCCTCCCTCTGCCCTTCCCACCTCCTTGATCACAGTCGGAGGGAAACCCAACAGCTGCTCTGCCTGGGGGGGGGGGGGGTGTGAGCCCAGAAGGGGTGTTGGAGCCGGGAGTTGATGGAGGGAGCGTCTAGGCTACAATCCCCGAGTCTTTTGTTTGCCCTCTGCGCTGAGAACTCTGGCAGGGGCCGCTGAGCTGTGGTCTCGTCGCATCCCCAGGCATCTTGTTACCAAATTAAAAGTCAACAGGGGATACTGGGGCAGGCACCCCTCCTTTCCAGGGCTCCTCCCTGCTCCTTCGCTCCAGGTCCGCTGGGGAGGCTTGCTGGGTGTGGAGACGGCGGTGGAGGCTAAGGTAAGGGCTCAGTTTGGTTCTCTTGGAGGTCTCGCGGCTCTCGCTGCACCCCAGGCTGCAGGCTGCTGGGCCGAGACCCGGCCCCAGGCTCCGAACACCCACAAAGCCTGAGCGCTCCCGGTCGATTCCTCGATAGCGCCTGCGGCAGCAACAGCAGCAGCAGCCGCCACAACTCGCGGCGCCCCCTACCCCTGCCCGAAGCTTGGGGAGGGTAGTAAGGCTGCCTCCAAGCCGGAGAGATACGACAACTCGCGCACCTTGACACCCCAGGCTGCTGGCTTCGGCCCCAGGAACCCCGCAGCGCCACAGGGCACCGAGTTTGTGCTGGGCACTTTCTCACGGGGCTCCTCGGGCTGTGCGGAGTGTGACATAGGAGTGCAGGTTTGGGAGCTCCCCTGTTAATTGCCTTTAAACAATTTTTACCACTTGCCCTTGACTAGGGCCTATTTACTACTGTGCCTGCAGGTGACTTTTTGCTCTTCCATTCTGCTAGCCTGCGATTTCAGTGAGCTGCCCTGGGCGGGAAGACACCGGGTTCCCCACCCTCTTCCTGCCTCTCCCTCCCTCCTTTCCCCACCCCCACGCCGCGCCCCTCTCCCTCTTGACAATTCAGGCGTCCCTGATCCCTTGCACTCTCTATCTTCCTGTCTCTAGAACTGGGTCTGGGCAGTGACTGGATGCTTGGGGTTGAGTGGTGCAGGAGCATAGACTCGGAGGAGTCCCCGGGATTTTCCACGTCGCTATCTCCCCACCCACACCTCGGCCAGGGGTCCAGTTCGGACTGACCCAACCCCACACTTTCTCTTTGCAGGCAAACTGTGGGTGACCGCGCCTGCGGGGGACTTTGCTATCTGTCCACTGGGACCCAGGGAGGAAGAATCGGCAGCTCTCCACCCCCTCCCTCTCCACCACCATTTTGGATACTCTGCAGGGAAGTGTTTTGGGGTTCCCACTGACTTCCAGGAAGGAAGAGTGCCCCTCTCTGACCCCTGCTCCGGCGGCTACCTCTGTTTGCTGCGGTGACCCTTTGCCCATGACCCTACGGTGCCTCGAGCCCTCCGGGAATGGCGCGGAAGGGACGCGGGGCCAGTGGGGGACCGCGGGGACCTCGGAGGAGCCGTCCCCGGAGGCAGCGCGTCTGGCGAAGGCCTTGAGGGAGCTCAGTCAAACAGGTAGGGAGCGGTAAGGCCGCCACACGTTCCGGGGTGGGGTGGGGGGCGGGTGCCTCCCCAAAGACTGGGACGCAGCAGGGAAAAGGGGACGAGCTGTAAAGCGAAGGATGGGGTGGGAAAAGTCCCCTCGCTTCCTGCCCCTGCCTCGGAGAGGATGTCCACACGGCCCTGGATCCTTGGGATGCGAAATGAAAGTGGTTCTTGAGAGACTTAGGCCTGGAGGACCTTGGAAATTGCCCCTTAGGGTGCCGTGAACTGGTTTTCACGCAGCCCAGGTCAGCCCTAGGGCTCAAAGTACATCGGGAGAAAGAGCCTGGCGCCTTTCTTTGTGCCGAGTGCGAGGAGGCAAGTGGGCGCAGCGCTGCCCGTAGCTTCTGCTGCATCCCGCTCCCGGGCGGAGCAGCGGCTGCAGCAGGGATCTTAATGTCCAAGTGCAGGGACCAACAGATTGCCGCGCAGGCGGCAGCCACGGAGCTTTGAGGAGTGTGCACAGCGAAGCCCCTGCTAAGCGCACGGCCTTCAGGAGGTCTTTGGACTGCAGTCCTGTGCTTTGCACCGCTCGCTGTTGTCTCTCGGGAATCTGAGGGAGAAAAAAGGGAAAAGAAAAATCTGGCAAACCCTGCAGGCTTTCAACATCTCTGGATCCTAAAAGCTTACGCTTGGGGCAAAGTTGATGTTTTGGTAGCACTGGGGAGAGGGGACTATTCCCTCATTCCCTCACTTGTGGTTGTGGGTCATTGGCTTTTCCCCCCAGCTGGAGAGACCGGCAGATTCAGGAATCCGAGCAATCATTCATTCATTCATTCATTCATTCATTTTTGAGGAAGGGCATATTTAAACTTCTTTAATGTAGAATGTCACTTTGTAAACAGGATGGGCCGGGTAGATGGTGCAGGCAGATCAAATTGAGAATGCTGGGTAGATCCAGGGACAGTTGGGATTGGATTTGAGTTAGGGCAAAGTCTAAAAGATAGCAGAGTTGAAATACTAATTGTCAATTGGGGTTTCCCTTATTTCTCAATGACTGATAAGGTAGTTGTAATCAAAACAGCAAACAGAAGCTATTGTACAAAGAACTATGTTTTTAAAACAAGTAAATAGCAGTGTCTTCTAGGACTTTGAACTGAGATACATCCATTGAAAGATTTGGGGAAGAGGAGTGGGAGACACCAACCATCCAAAAAGTTGCCTCTGTTGTTTTACTCCATCAGTGAGCTGCAGTGGGGTTTTCCTCTTTTTTAAGGGCATAGCTTTTATTTTAAACTTCTGATTTATTTCTAATTTGTTCTAAGTCTTTGATTTCACAAGGGTGGTGCTAGAAAACATTGTGCTTTGTTAGCCAGTGTGTCATATTGCAAATATTGTTTCATTAGGAGAAAATCCCGATGCTTTAAAGAACAGCTACAGAAAATTACTTAAAAAAAACAACTGGCTCGCATTTTGTGTGCATAAAGTAACATGGACCCACATTTTCATTAAGTTTCTGTCGAAAGTATTTGTGGTAGCCTCTGGTACACTTTCACTCACATACCTCTTTTTAGAGCTAGAAAAATTGTCAAGTACTTGCCCCTCTTAAAACATTCTTCATAATAATGATTTTACTCTCTTTTCTTTTTCTTTCTGAATAAAAACCCCAGGTTGGTACTGGGGAAGTATGACTGTTAATGACGCCAAAGAGAAATTAAAAGAGGCACCAGAAGGAACTTTCTTGATTAGAGATAGTTCGCATTCAGACTACCTACTAACAATATCTGTTAAAACATCAGCTGGACCAACTAATCTTCGAATCGAATATCAAGATGGGAAATTCAGATTGGACTCTATCATATGTGTCAAGTCCAAGCTTAAGCAATTTGACAGTGTGGTTCATCTGATTGACTACTATGTTCAGATGTGCAAAGACAAGCGGACAGGCCCAGAAGCCCCGAGGAACGGCACTGTTCACCTTTATCTGACCAAACCGCTCTACACGGCAGCGCCACCTCTGCAGCATCTCTGTAGACTCACTATTAACAAATGTACCGGCACCATCTGGGAACTGCCTTTACCAACAAGACTAAAAGATTACTTGGAAGAATATAAATTCCAGGTATAAGTGTTTCTTTTTTTCTTAACATGCCTCATATAGAGTATCTCCGAATGCAGCTACATAAAAAAGAACCCCAAAACTTGAGTGACTGCTCTGGATAACTACATGGAATTCTAAGAACAGCCGAAGGAATCTAACTTAAATGTGTGACGAGGTAGCGAGGTAAAGTTTCCTCAACTATTTTCACCTGAGTAGTAACACTTCCCTTCCTGAGTCTAAGACCAGTTGACCTTTTAAGTTAAAAATTAAATATCCCAAGTAAAGGCTGAAGTAACATTTTTATCAGAATGCCTTGCCTTTTGAGATTCCTTCCTTTTTGGTTGAAGGTCCAAGCACCAGTGAACGAACTGCACGGAGGGGTACTGAAGGGGAAGGAAACTAACACAGGCTGACTTCAGTTTCACATGCCTGGTGATCCGAGTCTGTTTTGGACATGTTATGTTTTGCATTCTGATGTACCTAGGGGTTTTGTTGATCAGATTTACTTGTGAGCGTTTATCCTGCATTTTATGCAATTAACCAAATCAAAAAAAGTGACCATGAAATCCTGTATTTGTCTTTTTACTACACGTATGAACTCTCTCATGTGAACGAGTACTGTAGTAATCCATTTTAAGGGAGCCTTACTTCAGACATATTTCAAATTGGTGCAAACGGAAAAGACTTTGTCTTTTCCTTTAAGGCTAAAGACAAGAATGTCCTGCTATACAGGTGCAACCCAATCCCTGTTCATTAAACCATGTGGATTTAGACATGTTACCCTTTGAAGTGGCCGTGTCCCAACCTTTTGCCATGGATTTTTTTGGAAATGGCTTTAGAAATTTCCAAGGTGTCCTTGAATTGTCTAACCATAGACATCAATGGTTCTCTCCCTTCTACCATGTAGAACACTTTGACTTAATTTTCTTCCAGATATAGGGGGATACCTGCCTGTTTTTCAACATGTTTATTTACTGCTGTTACTATTTGATTAGAATGTATTAAATAAAAAAAACCCTGACTTTTACAAGTTGCACTTATATTACTTTGAATCGTAGAAAACGTACATTTTTGTGGTAGTGGTAATAGAGGGTTACCATAAAAACAAGTTAGGTGAAATAAGCCAAATAAATATTCAGCAGGAGGTGGAGCATTACTTGCCCTTCTGAAACTTGCCCTTCTGAAACTTTGCGTTTTGGGAAGCATGGCTTAGAAACTACGAGACTTGCTAAGTGGCCCTTATATAAGTTGAACAGGCATAACAGTAATGCCCTTTGTATTTCCAAAAACATGGTTTAGAAACTACAAAAACTGTAACATATCCTAGTCTTTTACAGGTTGAATAGGCATAATGCAAAATAAAAATAAAGTTCTGTGGCCGTGTACTTTATGCCACGCACAGTCTCATGACTGTTGCGAATGTGCCGCCTTTTTGGAGTCCAGACATGGGAAATTTGCCTGAACAGCTGTGTGCGATGGGGTGTCCCTGGGAAGGCAAATCTAGTATAGCCTGTGTCCCGAGTGAATTCTGCTGAGACAGACACATATAATTTATGACTATAAAGTATAGCAAAACCTGTGCAAATATTTTCATGAAACTCGGGAAATAGTTTTGTGCCTGTGTATTCAAACAGTAGAGCCAAACAAAAGATAGCTAGGTGTCCCTTAGGAAGAATTAATTTGTAGCCTAAAATTTACAGAAGAGCCATACTTTTAGGGTCTGGTCTATGATCAAGGGTTAACCTTTTTGGTAAGATGTACAGGTTCTGCGCATTACTTACCCATTTTCTCCACTGAAAACAGTTGTCTAATGTGGGATGTTTGACTTCCCTGGCAAAAATTCTATGTGGCCAGTGACAAGGGGCTTTGTGGGATTTGCTCAAGGTCTGTCACACTTCTGCTCTCCTTGTTTCAAACAGTCTGCAGTTTCCCATTTATTGTGAGTTGGATGCAGTAGTGGGACATGAGTACCTGTGGAACTGTGGGAAGTTCTGCATTATTGCTAGCAAGTGACTGAGGAAGGCAGAGAACATCAAAGGCATCTCTGGAGTGTGCTGTGGAACTGCTGCCTTACATTTCAATCTTCCCTGTTTTGAAGTATGTTGATAAGCATTAGGAGACAATCTCTTTCTCTCTTTCCATTTTATTTTGTTTTACAGTTCCTAAGATTATATTGAGTTCATCGTGTGCCTGGTTCTTAGCCCCGTACATGCATTATCTAATTTGAACTTCACAAAGATGGAAGGGCAAAGCACAGCGATCACAGGAGGTATACCTGACTTGGGCATGAGGAGGCATTCCAGGAATATCCTGGCCCTCTTTATTCCTGGAGAAGGATTACAAAGAGCAAATCGCTCCTATTTCTACATTGATCCAAATGAGCAAGTTAGAGCAGGCCATAAAAGGAACCCTCAGCAGTTCTACTGCTGCCTCAACTGGAAAAGTACAGGTGCCTTAATTAGCATTGTGCTCTGTGGGTTTCCAGTCAGCTGGGCCCAGTGGTTTTCTCCTGGTGCCAGGGTGGGTCAGGAGGGGTTTCACTGTTTTACTTGGGGGCTGGTCCATGATGCCAGTTACCAATTATTGGTAGTCCCATTTCATGAACTGTTGAACAAAAAAGTTAAGGTATGCACTTGTCTAAACCTCAACAGAGCCAAGAAAAATATCCAGAGATCTCTTTCTGTGTAGGGCATTTTCAGACTTTAGTGAGGGTATGTATGCATTATTGTTGCTATGTTGAAAAATACAGTATATAGTATCCCCTCAAACTTAAAATACTTTGAGTTTCCCTTGGGAGCAGAGTTGAGGCAGTGGAGTTTTTCATTCTATTAAACTGGGCACTGGGGACTGCTTTTTAGGGAGTTGGGTTTTTTGGGGGACTTTGGACAGTGGAGAAAAGGCAGTTCAGCTTATGAGTTGAGAGTTCTTTTCTGGCATGTCAGTAAAAAAGTCTTGACTTCATAGTAATTACGTAATCCAAATAGGTAAGAGAATGGTACAGTTGTTTGGGAGTGTTTATTTTCTTGGGAAGGATTTTCTCTGCTTTTAGAAAATTGTACCCTGGTGGGAGGGTAAGAGAGAGACGTCATCAGATAATCCACGGGATGGAATGTCCTGAGACCAGGCCCTGTTCTGCTCCGAGTGGGTGTAGGCACAGAGCGGTGGGGGTGAGTGGCTGTGGTTACAGCCAGCAGCCGGCTCAGACCTCTCTTGTCTCCCACTAGTCATTTCTAGCCTTTGGAGCAAAAAAAAGTGTTGTCATTCATTCTAGGCCTTTTGTTTATTAAGAGGCCTGTACGCTCCTCTCCCATTTTTAACTTTTTAGAATTTTGAAGCTTGAAACCACTTTTCTGAACACGTATTTCAGTTTTGCCATTTTACTGAAGACTTTTAGAGGAGGTCAGGAAATTCTTGTGGATACACACAAACACACACAATTCAGCAAATCAATGGCAGAGTCAGTGGACACGTAGGAACAGCATTTGTGAAAACTGCACCCTCTACTCTTTGTTTAAACTGTCAATACTCTATTTTGCTGCCTTGTAAGCCCTGCAGCTCTTTTAACATTACATTTCTCTTCCTCTGGAATTAGACGGCAGGCCTTTGTAGCACTAGACGGGATAATTCCAGTTCTTGGCTTTGTCCACCCTGCTTCAGATAATCGGCTTCTGCTGGGTTTCCTGATGTCCACATTAGAGTTTTGCATTCATTTTAACTCCTCAATGCTTCTAACCTGTTTGCTGTTTTAATGTCTAAAACCTGCCATCCATGTTCTTTTATGATCTCACTCCTGCCTCTGCCAGATGTGACTCACACACAGCCGTGTCCGGGTGACTGGCCACCTCCTGTCCGCACCGGTGGAGCCCGTTCTTTCTTCCACCCGCTTGTGGGCATGATGGCGCAGCCAATTCTTGCCTCATTCTCTGCTGTCTGTGTCCTCGGGTTGCCCTTTAGTTCGTCTGACACAGATGGCCCCGTTGGCCATATCATACTTCGATTAAAGAGGGCAATTATATTCTCCTTGAGTTGGGTAATTGAATGATGTAGAATGCCTTCAGATTAAATCTCTGAGTTTCTCTTTGATTCCTTTCAGGTTTTTAAACAAGTAGCCAGCCCCAAATACCACACTTCTGTTATATGCGTGTTTTGTGTATTTATTTTTATTTAAAGTATGAGAGGCTCCTTAAGTTGCCTTTCATTTGATTGCAGTGGAAATGCCCTCCATTCCTTCTTCCTGCTTGTCTGTATGTAAGAATGATTCTGTGATAGTCTTGTTTCACTCTGACGTAGACATAAATATTTTTCCCCCACCTTCACATATTTTTTGTTTTTCTAATTTTTTTCTCTGTGGCTTGACTTCAGGTTACTTAACTTTATTACCAAAGTAAAGTAACAGCTGTTGCTACAGTAGCTTCTCAAAGCCCTGGAGCCCCCAGTGCCGAGATAGTAAATAAGCTAAAATCACAGAGCAAAGCTGGATATTCCTTTCTACACCCCCGGAGCTTTGTCAACAGGAGGCTGGATCCAACAATTGTTGTCACAGCGAATGGGGTTCATGTCAGTAAATGTTTAGTGAGCCATAAAAGTAAAACTGCTTTTACAGACAATCTCACTTGGAACTGTATCCTTGACTTACAGGAACTCTGACTTGCCCTGGAGATCAGGTGCACGTTCTGTGAACTATTACTCATGTGGCGCCGCCCCTGTTAGAAACAGAGGTACGGGATGCACAAGCCAGAGTCCTAGAGAGAGGGAAGGAAGTATGGCCAGCTGCCTTCTCCTTCTGTCTAAGCATAAATACCACCCAAGGAGCCCCATTTCTATGGAGGAGAGTGAGACTTTGTCACAGAACTCCATAAAATTTTCCTATATTTTCCTAGTTTCCAACTGTGTTCAGATAAAAGTTTATATTTTGCTAAATGGTTTTCCCTTCTGTTAGTTTGGTATGCTTTTTTTTCCTGTTTAGATTTTTGTCCAGAGAGCTGCTATGATCTTTAACATTTAGAAAAATATTTTCCATGTTATTTCTACCCAGAGAAGTTGTTTGATTTCCCAATTTAACCTCCCTTCTGCCATCTTGATGAACTTGACCGTTCTCAGGTTTCCAGTATAGTTTGTTTCTCCTCATTTCTATTCCCAGGTTGTGGCCATCAACACTATATTTGGTCAGAAAGTGTGTTTGCATTTTGCACATTTGATTAGGGCATCTGCTTTCAGTTTTCTGCAGTAATAGGGGCAGAGAGAATGGGGTCATTGAAACAAATACGTATAGTTAATTCCGGTTTCACCTTTCTCCCTGTTCAATCTCCTTTGCTAGAACTACTGATAGAAAAATTACTTCTTTTTTCACTCACTTTATTTTCCCTGTCCATCAGACAATGAGAATGTTAATAAACAACAAAAGTGACTAAAAAGATGTCAAGATGAGAAAATTAAGGTGAATTGGTGGTGTGCTGAGGACTCCTGAGAGGGATTTTGTGAGCTAAATCATTATGGGTAAATCTTTGGCAGATAGAAACCAGCCAAGGTGGGACTATTTACACTACAGAAGCTGGCAGCTACTGCAAATGTATGTCTTTAGAACCCTTGATGAGGATGTGATAAGGTTGAAGAAGAGGATAGAGATTACCAAGAGCATACCTTATAGGCCTTATTGAGGAGCTTGGAATTTGTGCAGAGGGCAGTGGATAAAAGCTTTTTAAAATGAGGGCATAACTGAACTAGGTTTGTATTTTATATCCCCTGGAAGCCCTTTGGAAAATGGCTTGGAACAAAGCAAGGGTGGAGTTAAGGGGACTGGTTAGGTGTGAGCTGATAGGTGTGGAGGGGTGGGAAGGAGGCAGTGGTTGGGGAGAAGATTGGGGAGGGGTGCAGATGTGGACCCCCATTGGCTGTAGGCTCACATTTGTGCTGGACTTTGGGTTCCACAGATGCATGCCTCTCTGTGAAGAGCAGCTTCCATTCCAGGTGAGTTTAGGTAGTTGGCAGATTCCATTTCCGGAAGGTAGGGAGTGGTGGTGCAATGGG